TTGGTTATGTTCAGAAGTCTATCTTAATACCTTTACAAACTTTACAAACCGAGTCTCAAAGTGATCACAAAACTAACTTTGATGGAAGTGGAGAAGAGTAATAGAGTATGACAGAACTCTCAGCAGTCAGGCAGGAAGAGACGCTCTGTGGTTTGCTGGGATTGGGATGAACTACAAGCGGGGGACGCATGCTTTTACTTTCCTTGTGGAGATTTGAACAAGTTGAATAAAGACGTTTTAAAGACCTTTTTAAGACCATTATGAATGCAATTTAAGACCTATTTTACATCCATACTGGTAAGTACAAAGCATATGAGAGAAAATAAGTAGGGGTTCCATGTCAGTTTGTTTTGCAGTGGTTAATATAATTTTTTCCTAAAAAACACATTTAAAAGCAAGACTGAAAAATGCAACTTTATACAAGTAACATTAACTTCATTAATCCAATCAATCTTTAAGAGCTGTCAAAATCATATTTAAGACATTTTAAGGCCTAAACTTCAGATTATTAGGTTTTAGACTTTTAAAGAACACGGAGAGCCTGATTTTCTCTCACTGTGTGGAAATCTGATTCGGATTTTTCACATCACAGATCATAAAGAAGTCTTCCACGTAAGACAATAAACTTGTGTACACTGACATAGCAGTTTAGCATGGCACTTAACTGAAAACGACTGGTCCAATCTTCTTAATTGACGGCTTAATACTGACAGATGTGACGTTATGTTTTGAGTTTAGTGGAAACCCATCTGAGGAAACAGCCTCAGGCCAACAACCACCTCTGCAGTCAGCCCAGGACTGACAACAGACCTCCTACTAGTACAAGTACCAGCACTATACAAGTAATTATTACTGTAAGAAACAATTTTTTCATACTAGTCAGTGGGGAAACTTAATCATGCGCAACAGAGTTCTCTGATTAGAATGAATCGATATGAATAGTGAGAGGGTGGAATTCTAGTAACTAGTAAAACATTTCCTCGTACCTCCATCGCTCCATCTCGAGCAGGGTCTGCTGTTTTGAGAATGTCGTCCACTGTCCACCACTGGTCCAGCAGGTACAGAGCCACAGCTGTCATTGGGTCACTGGGCGAGAACAGGCCCAGGATCTTATGTTTATCACTCAATCCATACAGGGGGGTGAAGCCCACACTGGAAATGTCTATGGTGACCTGAGGACAGACAGACGGTCCAGTACACAAGGTCATGTGTGATGTATGAGTTCGATGATACACTGATATTGAAAAAAAACCTCTACTTGTTTTGAAACTCCATTCATATCCATATCATCATACTCTGATGATATCTGCATTCAGGAGCTTCAGATGTTGCTACTGGTCTAAAAACTGAAGCCGAAGAATAAAGCTGGATTTATACTTCTATAGACACACACATATGGTTTAATTAATGAGAAAACCTGCATAAGAAAACATACCCAGACATATCTCTGATTTATCTTCTAACAAGTGTCTTATTCCACTGTATAAATACATCAACAAATACAATACAGTAGCTACATTTCTTCTATTATGTAATCTGTCTAGGATTTTGAGTCCAAAATAAACTTTCACTGTGATTCCTACAATAGTAGTAATTCTGACATGCATGATACATACGGGTCCTGGCCCTGGAGTCTTTACAAAACACTACTTTTAAAGTCACTAAATGGAGCTCTCACTGACTCTTACATTGAAAGACAAAAAAGTGGTCCAATCAGGAGTGAGTTAGGACAGCCCTGGTCACCACAAATGTCCAGCGTGTGTTGTGTTTTACCTGGGTAGAGTCAGAGAGGATGAGGTGTTCAGGTAAATCAGGGTTGCTGTAGAGCAGGTTGTTCATGTAGTTGTGGGCCGACTGTTCCAGCTCCACCTGGCTGACATCAGCCAGAAGATCCACGGGGAACTCCATCCCTACACAACACACAACAAACAGCAGTGAGATAGAGCAGCATTCAGACCCTCAGTCAGCCAATACTGTCGTTGTCCCACCATGATCTCTCAAACATTATTTAAGCAGTAACAATGGCACTTTCTGAACCACTTTTAAATCACCTGAAGGAATTACAGACAGAATAAAACCTTTGAATAAAGCCGAAATATCCATGATATTTTAAGGATAGGACAGGATATGATAGAATAGGTGTTTTAAAAGGAAGCAGGAAATAAACTACAGTGCTGCTCTAAAAGTGTAGTGAATGTATCATTACACACCACCATAAGTACCCTAACAAGCAGTTCCTCTATGCCATGTTTAGATTCAGATTTAAATTGTGTGCAACTTGGCGGTATTTATGTCGACTAGTGGACTTGAGAAGGCCTGTAAGGTGTGTGCTGTCAGTGAAAGAGGATTAGCTTTTATGTGTAACAGTTAGTATGGAACGTAACTGATCCAGGATCCATATGAGTGCCCACATGGCTGTATGCATGTAAACAACAGATATATAGTTTTACTGCAACTGTTACTGCTGTTAAATCTTGATGCAGAGTTGCAGTGAGAAACTAGACAACACAGTTGTGTGCTGTGTTGGGGTTAGTGAAGAGTGACCTGTTGCTTTTGCCTCCATTGAGTGAAATCCTGTAGGCTGTGACTTATTTTCAGTGGTGTTACTGGGAAACTGGGCATGCTTATCATCATAGAAATAGGTCATAAGATTGTGAGGTTTATTGCAATGCCTTCCCATCAACACACAGCTCCTCTCACTGGAGCAGCTCCAGTCTCTTTGCCCATCTGTGGCACAGCAGCCTTCAGTGATGATAAGCCAATACTTGTAATGTGTAACCAACTGGATGCTTTGCTTTTTATTTGAGCAGGACTACAGAGTGGTGAGGGAGGCGGCTACATCAGAGACAAAGTAGTGCATTTTTAATTTATTTAACCCTAACCCTGCCCTCAACCCTTGGTACAATCCAAACCGTTAGCTTTTATCCACTGCACCCTTAGTAACAGTTCAATCTGGAAGTATTATTTCTTGTAGCTAAGAGATAAGTGTTTGTTTAGCTTGATAGACAGAGAGAGGATTTCATCAATTTCATATTGATCTCATCATAAATACCCATACCATATAAATCCACAGCTCTGCCAATCCTAGCACAGGCCTTTAAATTCAAGAGTAGTCTCCAGCAGTTCAGTTCATAGTCTCTATGTGGGATAGACTTGACCTCCAACACGTGGCGATGGTAACCTCATTTAATCCACCAGCCACAACAAATCCCAGGTAATCCCCAGTGATCTCTTGTGAGACTAATAAACTGTGAGAGCTACCTTATTAAGCTGTAATTAGGATAACAAGCTAAATTTAGTTTCTTCTTACTATTTTTTTTTTTAATTGTTATTGTTCTTGGAGTACAAACACAGGCAGAACAGTTTTGATTGATTTAGATTCAGTTTGAGCCTGGAGAAGGGTCATTCATGAACCGGCCAACAACTTTTTTATTAATCTTAACCAGATCACTTAGTCTAAACATTTGACACCAAACTGGGGTGGCCAGGCATCCCACACCACCCCTCTAGATCCGCTCTTGGAACAGAGTTAAAGTATAAATAAAATCACATGTACACATGCATTATTTAAGGTTTTTATACAGAGCATAAAAAAAATCTGTTTAGCATAGGCTAATTGCACTGAAGGAATTAAAGGTCCAGTGTGTAGGATTTAGTGACATCTAGTGCTGTAGTTGCATATTGCAACTCCCTCGCTTCACCTTCCACTTCTAACCACGAAGGAGAAACTGTGTAGGTCGCAAAATTAGTAGAAAACATAAACGCCCCTTTCTAGAGCCAATGTTTGTCCCTTCTGGGCTACTATAGAAAGAAACATGACATGCTCCCACGCCAAACGTAGATAAAAACAGCTCATTCTAAGGTAACAAAAATTCTTATTTTCTGGTGATTATACTCTAATGAAAACATACCTATGAATATTATATTCCATTTCTGCCAAATGATCCTCCTAAATGTTACACACTGGAGCTTTTAAGTGATATATGTGCACACATACCAGTGATAGGTCAAAACATTGCCAAATAAGACTTTAATTCTCAAAGTCAGAAGTGGTACTATATGAAAAGCCGTAGGTGCTGAGCTGAGCCAAATGATCTGACTCACTAAAAAGAGCCATAATTCCCATCACTATTTGAGCCTGCGCCACAATCGACTGAACAAGATTTGGCATTTGCCAATCAGCTTGCACCAACAAGTCATTTAATAGTTTTTGGAAAATGAAACAGCAGGGCTTAAGTAGTTGAAGACCTTAAATACAGTAACATTTAGTAACCTGGAGGGGACCATGAAGATTTACATATCCAAAACATCACTGTCACCTGCTGCACTGCATAGCATTACAAGGCTATGTTTTCAGAAAAATCAAACCTGTATACGTGTATAACTAAATTAGCTTGATTTGATTTTTGATGATTTGACAACTGGATTCCAAGGTGGCTTAATAAATGTAAAATAAATAACTCTAAATTATATTATATAATATATATAATATTACCTGTTGACTTTAGGATCAGGGTTTTCCCTGAACCCCCAGGGTTTCCCAAAAACACCTATAGTGTTCTAGCCTACAGCTGCTACAATCAACAATGTGAACTGGCCTGGCCACCTTTCCACCCCGAAACAAACACACAAACATTGCATCCATTGCTGCAGGGTAGTGTAGAATAATGTAAAACTGCCCGACTGATGTCAGTCATAGGAGGTTGTAATAGGAAGCCAACACGGTTAACACCTCAGGGACACACATGCTCATTCACAAGGCTTCAACAGCTGTCTGCTAACACACGCTTGACAGAAATACATGCATGAACACAGGGTCTCATTCAAACCTTCACTCCGTGTTTTGCTCAGTTATCCTGTTCAGACTTAGAGCCTTCTCAGCTAGAAACTCCACTCTTCGATATTGCAAGCATACTTGAACATAACTGCAGAACGTGAGCTTCAACTTTTCATAAGGAGACTGAAGAAAGAAAACTAATCTAAAGAACGCCCACCACTGCAGCAACCAAAGTTCAAGACCTGGTTGCACAACCTCCAGTGGCTGTGGGGGATATGATACCTATCACAATAAAGGGGTTTCAATTTGATATATTGCAATACTACAAGCAAGGCAGCATATTTCGATTTACAAAAAGAATTTAATTTTAGGAAAAGTGTCATAGTATAAAGACCATCATGTGCATAATCTGGTTGCATAAAAAAAATACTTTGTGGCTCATACTGGTTGGTCAGGAGGCATGTGTATTAAAGTAAACTATATTTTATTAAGGAAGAGTTATTTTATGACCACTTATGTCACTTTTTCCAGAAAAGAAATTTCAGATACCATATTGGCACTAGTATCAAAAATTTCAAACAATTCCCAGCCCTAGTAACAAAGGGCTAATATACACATACAGGAGAATGAGAATTTAGAGAGGGAAGTGGGAATGCAAAGCTATCAAAAAATCCACTAACTGACTCTTCATCTTCTGGTGAATTAAGTGTTTTAACAGGGTTGTGCATGGAACTACAGTAGCACACTTGTATCATATGTGCACGGCAGCAACCAGGAAGGAACCTGTGACAGCAGTCTGGTGTGAGAGCGTTGAACACATGTTCATTATTACGAGTCAAGCACGGCATGTGTGTATGACAGTAGTATAAAATGGAAATTTCCATTGGATTTGAATTTGGGCTAAAACAAACCTCTAGCCTTACACAACTTCAGAACAGGAAATATGCACACACCAGCCTGCACAACAATAACACAGCTCTCTCACACACAGTTATAAGGATCTGATTAGTGTGAGCTACCTGCAGGACCAGTTTCAATTAAGTAAATGATCCCCAGAGGGGACGTCAATGCCAAATCTCTTTTTACATCTTCACCAAGTTAACCCATTGCTCACTGTTACTCTACACCACTAGTGTCAAACGTAACTTCCATATACTATAAAAATAGTACTTCACACAGTCCAGATGTTACATGAGTAACTTTTAAAAGATGATCATGGGAATGTACATGTTAACGTTAAAGTTGGCACCCTTTCTATGTGACAAGCTGTGGTGTTTAACTGGAGGCAGCATCCATTTCCAACACATAATCCCACTGTACTGTACCCTACCCCTCTATTTCTCCCAGCAGCACACTGTCATGAGCATGACCAGCCAAGCATGAAGTCCAGTTTGTGTTATGTTTGCATGCCTGTGTGTGTGTGTGCCATTCCCTTGACGCAGGGAGTTTGAATACCACAGATCCATCCATAAACCAATCAGACACAACACTCCTGTCCACAGTTAGGCTATCCACTACAAAGTATACACAGTATAGTACAGCAGTCTGAGCTGGTTTGAAGGTCCAGTGTGTAACATTTAGGAAGATCTATTGTCAGAAATGGAATAAAATATTCATAGCTATGTTTTCATTAATGTATAACCACATACATGTATGCCAGCAGCATTGAAGGGGCGTACTATGCAATTACAGAGGCTTCTAATGTTGACTGTACTTAATTAATTCTTCAGACACAGCCCCAAGCTCTAACAAAACAACTGCACAACCCTCAGCAGTTTCTGACACAGCTGACTGGTAGTCTGCTGCACAGATTCCAACTTTCATACTGTATGCTATTTGGTCATTAATGACTTTGAGTAGTGCACCCGTCAGTTGTTTTATGCAGGGGATTTATTGTCAGGCTTATGACTGCATTGAGAGCAGAAACAACATCATCATCATCTAGACAGTTTTAATCCCATGGCTTTTGAGACTTTGACCATTTCTGGGTCAGAAATATCCAATCAGCTGCAGGTCTGTCAGGCTCTTTTAATGTAATTAATTCGTTTTACAGACTTTGTTGACAATGAAGTTATTTTAGAGCCCAACCAATATCGGAATTTTGAGACAAATACCGATTTTAGAGGGGAAAAATTCACAGAGTACAGATATGGCGGCCAGTGAAAATAGAGCTGTTCTATGTAGATTGTGCACTGATATGACTGTGTGAAAGGTACTCAGAAGGATGCTTTCTTAAACAAATATCTTTATTAAAGAATATTTAACTTAATATTCTTTAACATGTTAAATAATTAAACATATAAATACATTGTCAACCAACTCTAGTTGACACTGTTAAGAGTTGCTTTTTTCCTCTTACTATGCTGCTTGTAAATCACACATTTACATATATCAGGCATTTTTTTCTGCATTATATACCAGATTTATTTATTTTTTAAATATAGGCCCATATCAGACAAAATATGCCCCTATACCGATATGATACTGATATGTGTGCAATTGGCCAATATTGACTGATCTATCAGTCAGGGTCTAATTTATTAGATAGAAAACCAACACAGGCCATTTGTACTCACTCACATCCATTATGCCCCTTTATCCCACCATGTCTCCAACTGACACCCACCCACCCACACACACCCACACACACACACACACACAGTCACTGAACATCACCAACAAAGCAGAAAGTCCCGTTTGTCTTTTGTGAGAGTGTGTAAGAGAGAGAGAAAACAAGCCTGGCAGCTGACTGTGTGTTTGTGTGCAGATGCATTCATGGCTCTGGTGATGGCAGGCCCAGTGCCCCCTCAGGGTAAGGGAGCAGTGAATACCACACATGCATGTACAAACCAGACATTTGACTCTTGCTTTCTCTTACGTCGGGCACCTCGCCTAGAACTCTCAAAAGTTGTCATAAACAACAAGCTTGTGCTACATTTCTACAACTGCTGGGGTCGTTTTGTCTCACACACAGAGGGAGGGACAGAAAGACACAGATAGCACACTTTTAGGTACATGATGTTCCGATAACAAGAGCTGCATAGAATGTGGGTAGGATACACTGTATGGCTCCTTATTTCACTTCACATGGACCCTGTGAACGTTCAAAGCTGATAACAATCACATGCGATCAGAAACTTTCTTGTAAATACCTGAATAAAGAGGCTCGTTAAAACTGAAGACACAGCTAGAGGCAAAGAGCGCGGCTGCACAAACGCTGAGTGCGCACTTTTTCTTTCATTAGCGCACAAACCGTCCAACGAGAGCGGAGCACAGAGCGGACTTTACCGAACTAACACTGAGCACAAACACAGCCACTCTGACTGTCTGAAACCGTGAAAAAGTAACAGGGAACACTGAGTTCCAAAGCCACGGTAGCTGGGACAGAGGGTGTGTGTGTGTGTGTGTGTGTGTGTGAGCGGTCTGGGGGAGGGGGCGTGTGCTCTGTAGCCACGCTGCCACTGATGGAAACTGTGTCCCAACAGCAGCAGCAAACAGGACGGTGAAAACTTCAATTTCCAACACATTTCAGACACGCAAACTCAACTCAAAATAATTGGCAATTAAAGCTCGAGCCTGCTCCATTTAGTTTATAACAGTGAAACAACGTATCATTAGAATAACTAATTGTTTCAACAAGTTAGAATAAAGTTCATAACAACGCACATAAAAGGAATGCGCAACTAATCTTAGCTAATTATCTGAGGAAATAATGTCTATGCTTGTTCAATGATAGCTTGCAGGCACAGTGTAAGTTCATGGGGAACTGTGGGAAAGTGTAGTGAGGAAGCTTCATCTTCGGACAGGCTGTTACAATTTAGAACATTTTGTTCCCGATTAAAAGGACATAACGTTAATTATGTTAATGGCGTTGGCTCCAGCAAGGTGCACTGTGGACGCCGCCGACGGCCGTCCACAGTGCGGCTGTGTGAACTGGATGCACCGCGGTAGTCTATATTTAATGCCTGCCTGCTCTCCGCTCCAGCAGATGCTGCCCTGGCCCCGTCCTCGTTTCTCCCTCCTAATTCCAATAAGTGCACAAAGAAAATGCCCAGCGAGCAGCGCGCACACACACACACACACAGTCTGGCAGCGGCAAGCAATATGAAGAAAAACGAACTCACCTCTACTTCGCAGGAAGCCTTTTCTTTCCTTCAAAACTCTCACTGTTCAATTTAAATTCCGTAAACACGTTTATGGTTTATTATGTTGCTAGGTGCGATGCTCTGCGCATGCTCGGCTCAGGCCAATCCTGTTCCAACTGCCTTATGTAACTAAACTATTATCCAATCTCACCCCCTACAGCAGGGGTTCCCAACCTTTCTATCATTGAGTAAACCGACAACCCCTGACTCAGTGACTTAGGCTATGGGTAGTTCATATTATATTTAATGCATAACAATAACAGTAGATAAACTGTACAGTGAACCCAAACAGTGAACAAGAAGACATTGTAAAACAAACGCAGATTATTTCCTGTGAATATTGCATCAAAGATGAGTTTTCCTGACAAATTCTCTTTTTAATTTCTAACAATCATACAAACTCTATAGGCCTGTCATAGAGGACTAAAGAAAGCAGAACATATTCACATTGGAGAGGCTGATTTGGACATTTATCATAAAAAATGACTAATGCAATAATTTAATAGTTGCATACTAATTTATTAATTGACTAATCTTTGCAGTTCAAAACAGAGTTTGTAGAAAAAAAGTAGAAAAACAATCAATCAACATTTATATGATAATTTGACTATGTTTTAATTTTCTCATTAAATGATACCTATTTAATATACTGTTGGGCATGAGTAATTAGCCAATTACTGCACAAGTAATTAGTTACTAGGGAAAGACATTTTTGTGTTCCTTTTAAATGATTGCTTTAAGTCTCTTGTTAATGCGCTCAGCTATAATATTTTAGGGTTGGCAGAGTAAAATGAAATAATGTCTCAGACATTTCACAGTAATTTCTTACTTTTACTTTTTGTATAGTTTTCTATTTGTATAGATATAGGTTAATTTTAATTTTAATGTATGTCTAAATGTAGTTTGTATGCTGCTACTGGATGCTTGAATTTCCCTCGGGGTAAATAAAGTATCTATCTTCTATAGATAGATTTAGGTTTAAGCTCAGTCCTAGAATGGTAGATCAGTATGGATTAATTCCACTCCCTTTAGTGTAGGGATTGGTGAGGCTAACACTGGGTTCAAATACCGAAGAAAAGTTTTCTATTGTTTTACCATTGTTTTTATTTCTTTATTTAATCACAGCCAGTATTTTTATATGTAAGAAGGTGTATGTTTATCAATTCCATTTTTTTTTTTAGTAAATCAATTGTGTAGCGAAAAGAAATTATAAATATATTTTTCTAAAATTTTGTAAAGGCGAAAGTTAGTGAACACTGAGTGGAATGGCTTAAAACGAGCAGGTAAATACAATCAGGTGACACAAAACTGTTGTCTAGATGAACCAATGAAATGAGAGAGGAATTGGGCAGCACTGTTTGAAACATATCAAACCAGGTCAGTTTAGTCTTACCATAATAGGCCATACCATACAGGTTAATCATGCAGAGAGTAGGGTTGCACAGTTTATTAAAATATTGTTGTAACCACAATATGGCCAAAGGCAATATCCAAATCGCAGAAGCTGCAATTTTTAGATAAAGGTAAAATGTGACAAACAGCATTATAATGAAGTACTGTAGTTCTTAAATGCCTTGACCTGCAAATTTGTTCTCCAGATTTAAGAAAACATGTTTGCTGATCCCAAATTTCTTTTTGAGGGAAATTAAATTTGAGGTCCTCATAAATGTATTCTTGGCACAATAAACACATTGCAATTATTTTGACAGATATTGCGATATGATTCATGATTAGTGTGGCAATGATCATTTTTGCACCACAATTTTAATTTGACAAACTTGTTTGTAGTTTGAAAAACTACTGAAATCATGATAATGTAAAATTTTTGGGGGTGTGTACCAAACAAACATCTTTTCTTAAATCTAGAGAACAAGAATTATAGGCCAGGACATCTCTGCAGCTCTACAGTAGTTCATTATACATGTTATGTTGGAAAAATGGCAACTTCTGCTATTTGGATATTGCAATTGGCCATACTGTAATTTTGGTAATATTGTGATTAATTGTGCAGCCCTAATCACAGCATGATTGACCTTTGGTAGGTTGAAACTTAATTGGTTTGATCTGTTACATTCAGTGCAGCCAAATTTCTTCCCTAAAGATTTTTCATTTCATTGGTTAATTTTACTACAATTTTACAACAGTTTTGTGCCTACACAATTGATTTCCTCAAAAAAAGTATATGAAATTGATAAACATACCTGTTATTTCATATAAAAATACTGGTTCTGATTAAATAAAGTAAGAATGGTAAAACAACAGAAAACTCCAAAATGGTTTACATACTTTCTAGCATATCTGTATATACTGTATATAAACCAGTGGTGGCCATTAGTAAAATTACTCTGCACATAATTAATCAGCCAGTAGAGAGCAGTGCTGCCTTGCTAATGGACATAAACCTGCTGCTACAGAGTGAACACGCTTCACTACTGTTGGCTAGTTTTTATACATTTATATACATTCATTCAGCAGATAGTGTTGTTTGTCTCAGAAGGACATCATACACCCGACCATCGGCTGTCCAGCTCCCCCTATATTCCATTCCACGTGCTGCAGCCTGAGGTCTCTATTTACAGGTATTTTGCCAATTAGTTGTCTGAGGACTACAGGCTCAACTGTTGACATAGGTTGCACGTCTTTGATGAAATATCTGGCATTTAGTCTGTTAACTTCTGCCTAGCTGTGCAGACAAATGCATGGGTTTAACATCCAGCTTTGGCTGTTTGGATGCAATGGCTCCTCCTTGGTCAGCGGAGCTAGCACAGGGGTCTTTTGGGTCTTTTTTAACAGTGATTCCCAAACTGGAGGTCAGGACCCCCACAAGGGGATGTCAAAGTTTCACAGGGGTGTCACAAGGCCTTCTTAATTTTAAGGGGTATAAAAAACTTAAATAAATATACACAGTAGGCCTATATCTAAGCATTTTGCTGAAAACTAAATGATTTTTCTTTTCTTTTTTAAAGTTCAGATTATTATTTAAGATCTAAAGGTTGAAGACCTGAACACAATTTTCTGATGTACAAACTTGTCCTGCGGTAGAAGTACACAGTTAAAACAATCAAAGAGCTAATAGAACAGTGAGAAGCTCAAATTTCCTGAACTGTTGGCTATTGTGTGCAGTCTAATGCTGATTCATTGATTGCTCTGCTGTGGGTGGGTGACGTTAGATCATAACTCGGAATATCCAGGGAATAGGCATAGGCTGTATAAAAAATGGAAATAGCTCCCGGACCTGAAAAGTTAAACCAATTTGAACGTACCTATTAGGGCAGTAAACAGTTTCCTAATGAGTTATGGTCCTCAAATCTCTAGTTTCAGTCTTCTTCCATACATCATGATGTTCATTTAGTAAATGATGGTCCCCATTTAGAGAAAATAGACGATAAAGCAGGGTATGCTTTAGGGCTACCTTGTGATTGACATGTCGGTACCATGGCGACCGGTCAATCAGATATGCATTGCTACACCTGTTTGCTGCGGCCACTGGGGCAAACAAAGCTAGATTACATCATGACGTCTGACTGATGATGTGAGCTGTTTATTGAACATATTTTGAAGTAAAGTAAAGGCAACTGTGAAAGGTCCAGTGTGTAGGACTTAGTGATTCTAGCGGTGTAGTCGCAGATCACATCTAACTCTAACATCTAACTTTACCCTCCCTTTCCAAGCGCAAATAGAGAAACTATGTGGCTGCAAAACATGAACTTCTGCATCTGTAGATAAAAAAAACAGCTCTCCTTCTTCTCCAATGTCCATCATACACACACCCGGATTGACTACTTTCTTCTAGATAATAGACTATTAGGAAATGTTACCTCTTTTTGTCGGACGAAGAATTTGTGAACAACATTTCTCCCCAAATTTCCTTCTTTCTTGAAACCAGTGCTTCCCTGGAATTTTTTTTTTAATAAACTCAATCTCCCCTCTGTTCTGGCCGAGCTAAAATTTTTGCTGGGAGGTGTGATAACCAATGCAGAAATTCTACAAGCTATCAAATCCCTAAAATGTAACAAAACACCTGGTCCAGATGGGTACACCTCTGAATTTTATAAAAAATGTATACTTGAGCTATGCCCGTTTTAACGAATCTCTGTCATCCAGGATGTCTCCCACCAACTTTACGACAGGCTGCAATAACACTCTTACCCAAAGAGGGTAAAGATCCACTCCAGTGTGTTTCCTATCGCCCAATCTCTTTGCTGAATATAGACTTTTACAGAAATAGAAATAGAAATAGAAATAGAAATTTTATCCAAGATTCTGGCAGTAAGACTGGAGAAGGTCATCTCACAAAAAATCTCACCAGACCAGACGGGCTTCATTTTAAATCGGCACTCTAGTTCAAATTTTAGAAGGCTCTTCAATATTATATACTCATCTCTGCCCCACTCTCCTGAAATGGCCATATCACTCGATGCTGAAAAAGCGTTTCATCAAGTTGAGTGGCAATATTTATTTTTAACTTTTAAAAAAATCGGATTTGAGGATTCTTTCATCTCTTGGATTAAACTCCTCTATTCTCACCCTCTAGCCTCAGTAATTACTAATGGACAGCAATCTGAATACTTCCCTCTTGGCAGGGGCACACGCCAGGGCTGCAACTAATCCCCTTTACTTTTTGCCATTGTCATCGAGCCTCTAGCCATCGCTCTTAGACAATCCAATGACTTCCTGGGCATAGAACGAGGGGGCCTTACACACAAATTGTCTCTATATGCTGATAACATTATTTTGTATGTCTCAGACCCATTAAAATCTGTTCCTGCCATTCTCAGCACCCTGACTCAATTTAGGAAATTTTCGGGATACAAAATAAATTTTGAAAAAACCAAAATGTTTCCTCTTAACCAGCCTGCTACCCTAATCCCTGCATCACATTTCCCATTTAGAACTGTTAGAAAGAGCTTTAAATACCTAGGAGTCAAGATCATACCTGCTTTCTCCTCCCTCTTTCCTAAGAACTTTGGCGTTTTATTTGAAAAATCTAAGAAAGACATGATCAGATGGATGAACCTCCCTCTGTCCATAACTGGCCGAATTAATCTCATTAAAATGATTGTACTACCTACATTTATTTACCTCTTTCAAAACATTCCAATCTTGATTAAAAAACAATTCTTTAATTAATTGCACAGTAGCATATTCCTGTTTATCTGGAACGGAAAAACACACAGAAAAAAAAGAAGGGCCCTTCAAAGACCTAAAAAGCTTACTGGCCTGGCCCTACCTAATTTTACTCATTACTATTGGGCATGCAATATAAAGGTTATGTTACATTGGATGGGAAAAGACCAGGGTGATAGATGTTAGGCCTGGGTGCAAATGGAAAAAGCCTGTAGTCCGCTTAGCCTGTACTATGTGCCCCAATGCCCCCTCCCCCAAACCAATTTCTCTCCAACCTTGTGGTCTATAACTCAATCAGGATTTGGTCACAATTTAGAAGACACTTCAAATTGCAGACAACATCTATACACTCTCCCATCAAGAATGATTATAACTTTCCACCCCCTCTCTGACTCAACCTTTAGGATTTTGCATTCAAAGGGCATTAAATCCATCTCCAATATATATGTGGATGGCACACTTGGCTCATTCGCACAACTCTCAGTACTATTTAATTTACCAAAGTGTCACTTTTTACGGTATCTCCAGCTTAGGCACTTTGTCCAGAAAAGTATTACTTCATTCCCAGACCTTCCACCGGATAATATGATCGATCATATATATTCTTTCATTGTCTCCATATCGTAAGGGTCTATTTCCACTCTTTACAATAATATATGTGATATCATTTCTCATTTACTGCAAGATCATGGAAATCATGGGAGAATGACCTTGGAGAGGATATGACAAATGATCAATGGGAGACAGTGCTTTAACTGGTACATTCGTCTTCCCCTTGTGCTCAACACAGCTTAATACAACTCAAAATTGTGACTGGCGAAAATTTTCCCTGATGTGAATCCTT